ATATAATATTATCAGCGCGTTGTTGGTCGTTGTCTCGTTATTCGTTTCATTATATACAAATAATTAGAAAAAAAAATATATGCCACATATGTATCTTAAAAATGCATTAAATGTGTTACTTTTATTCAAACCTCTTCACTATGTCTCAATGAGATACCTGTAACAGTTATTATATTAATTTTATATTATTATATCATACGTCGGAAGTAAGTCTGGAGTTGTACGACACATTTTTTCACAATTTTTAACCTCAACAAGTGTCAAAAACTTTCAATTATTTGAGTATGTACCTTTGATAATGGATCTCAAAAATTTTCGCTATGGTTTACAACATTGTGTTGTATCCATCATATAGGTGTCCACAGAAATTTTTCTAAAAAAAAAGGGGGGGGGGCAATGTTAGGATTTGAGGATAAATATTATAATTTTACTATATAGGTGTTTTGAAATAATAACCTTTTTTATCATACTCGTATACAATATATTATATTTTATACTTTAAATTTGTTGTATAGTATATAGTAATTTATCTTAAAACATTCAATTAAAAAAAAATATTTTGAAAAAGCCAGGGGGGGCAAATGCCCCAGCTTGCCCCCCTCTACGGGCGCCTATGGTATCCGTGGTCCGAAAGTACATACTCTGACCATAGTCATCGGAATGTATTGTAAATCCAGCAATGATTACTCAGTACTCTTTGCATAATATTGTACAACGTCGTTTTGTCCCTTTTTTGGATTACAAAATATCTTCCTTCATTTTGTCGCATAAGCCATGGCCCATCATGCCGCCTTCAATAATGTCTTACTATATTATGTTTTCTAAAAGATCAACATTTTCCGAGTCATCGTCGAAGTTAAAATTGTCAACTGGTAAATCTGCAGACTGCAAATCGAAGTCGTCCTTTATTATTTTTCCTCGATCCTCGTGACAAAGATACGTCACTTGTATAACTATTCCCGGTCTTGCAAATTTATTACGATTTTCAAATATCCCGACAGCTACAACACGACTCAAGTTCATCCAGTCACACACGCTGTATGATCTAATCTACCGGTTAAATTCATAATATTGTGGACTGATTTATATCTTGACACCAATTAATAGGCAATAATAGACTAGTTCTAGCTGTGCACCAATGCCAAATCCACTATTATTACTGCAATTTTTAACAATGTACATGGATAAACTATTGTTCTAGGTAATAAATATTATAAATAAATATCTAAAATATTGAATAATACCTAACCTAGTTTACTTTATACTTTGAGTTTGACACCCTTTTATTTTACAGCTCAACAATTTCTTTTCTTTTCCGCGATCTTTTTGATTCCAGATGGAGCGATGAATGTAACGATTTTACAATAATGCGTGTTTTATATTTTTTTTGTGTCTTTGTACACTGTGCGCAATAAGTTGTCTAAATAATGCTTCGATTTTCAACTTCAGTAGCTTTACCGGTTGGAAAGTGAATCTAGTTGGTGTATTGAGGAGGTCAAATTTTGAAATTCTCAGCAGTTTTCAAAAGTCCCGAGAAAAACAAAAAAAAAGTTAAGGTAAAACGGGAGTTTTCAATTAAAAATATAAATAATACATTGTCAAAATATTTTTAATAAGCATTTAAAGTTCGAATTTTGACATAATATGTAAAAATTACGAAAATTTTCAATTTATTTCGAGTTAGAAATTCATAAAAATTTATCTTTTTAAATTTAAGATTTGAAAATTCAATATTAAAAGATTCTTTATGAAGTTGTATAATTTTGTCAAATAAAAAATGTGTATTGGAAAGTCAAATTATAACATTGGATACTCACTTAATTTCTCTTGTACCGATATTTTTATTTTGTTGCTATTCAAAAACGAATAACTGTAGAAACTTGAAATTGACACCATATTATGTTTATTTTATCAATTCTTGTACTTAATATAATGACTTATATTCGTTTGTTAATATTTCGATACGTGACGTAAACCATGTGAACCCAAGAATTGCCGACCAATAACTAAACACACGATCAAAAATTATATCACGCAGTAAAAGATGCATTCTATATAACTTAAAAAGATTTGAAATATTTTGAAAATTTTATCAAGTATAGAAAATGCCAGTATAAACATTCCGTGAAAATTGCATGGATCTACAGTAATTTGTTTGAGAGTTACACCAATATCTATTGTAATTTTGATTTTTTGTTTTTCCCGGTGCTTTTGAAAACTACTGGGAATTTAAAAATTTGACCTCCTCAATACACAAACTAGATTCACTTTCCAACCAAAGCTACTGAAGTTTATTCGAAGCATTATTTCGACAACTTATTGTGTACAGATTGTGTATTTCAAATTGTAAAATAATGTATATTTTAATTTTTAATCGTTTCTATAAACAATACCTTTAAATTTTTTTGAGCATTTGGTATTTAGTATTATTTAAACCTTTGAAGAAGTATAATATATAATCTTTTAAAAATATTGTACTTTATCATAGTCTAAAAGTAAAATAAAAAAAGTCTCGTGGGCTGTCGAGTGGTTTGATTTTATGATGTCACGCTTACCTAATACGTGACTTAAATATGGTCTGATAATAATTATTGAAATTTGAAGCTCTATATTTTCACATAATTAAAGAAAATCAGTTTTGTCTAGTTGTATAAAGTACATTAATTTTATCGCTTAATCCTTGTAATATATTTACTATACATATAGCTATAGTAACATAAAAGAAAAAGTAATATTTAAAAATAAATAAGTGATTTTTTAATAACTCATTTTTAATTAATAAATATTATAAAGTTTTAAAGCCAATTAAAAATCGAAGATTAAAATTAACATAATATGACATACTGTTATGTTGATGATATAGATGCATCTTTGATTGTGTTGCACATGCTTCAGTCATCTTCAAAATATTTTCCTGTACCTACGATGATCGATGGCGAAGACCTGAAATATAAGCTTAACACTTTGAATAAATTATCCACGATATGGGTTGACGATAACTTAAGTGATAGCTCGTATCAGTCTGCAATTTATAAAGGAATATGTGGTGAATTTATTAATATAATTTTTATTTCAAAGAAAATAATTGTATCTTTATGTAAACGTAGAGTGCTTATATATATATTAAGCATGCTGAAATATGATTTTTTTTCTTGAACTTTAAATCAATATTGAATTTATTTTTGTTTAAAAAAAAAAATTAAGATATGTTTGTCGAAAACGTATTTCGGCATGCACCACTGCATTCGTTTACACCCGATGACGAAATCAACACTGAAATGATGTGGGAATTGAAGCAGTTATATCCAGTCTACAAGGTGTTTTCGGCATTTTTGAATTTAAGTGGTTTTGACGAAGAAAAGCTAATGCCATATGTAGACGAAACATTCATTAACGCTTTAATGCGACGAATGGACAAAAGTTGTGTGGAAACTGAAAGAGATTGCGTGATAGAGATATTATTTCTGCTGTTTAAGAAAGCTATGTACCTGAAAAAATACATACTTCAAGCAACTATAAACTCTCTCTTAGACTACGGCCTGCAAATGTCAATTAACACGGGCGTTAAAGAATTGCTGGAACTGTTCATAACTTTAATATGTCACAGATTGGTCGAGTCGCCGATGATAGCTAAGGTTGTAAAACAATAAAACGGTATTGCTATAGCAGTGCTATACAGTGGCGTGGTGAACTCAAATATTATCTGAGGCAAGTACATTTTTCGATACCCACTACCCATCTAGTATCCACCTACCAACGTAGATTTCTAAGAAATTACTTTGCTCTATATATTCTAATAGGGTTTATAGTTGTACAACATTCTTATGAAATAGACCGTGCAGTATATCTTAATTCGCGGTTAAATTCTTTGCCGTTATCACGAGTATAGATATAGGCTATTGAGTATATTAAACCGTTACCTACCAAGTTAGTTGCTCGCTAATCACGAACTAAGATATCTTAATTCGTGCCCTAATGTCAGCGTACTGCGTACAGTGCTACCGATATGCTATATAATATTTCAAATTCTTAAACAGATAATGAGTTATCAACGTTATTCACTTTGCCTGGCGTATTCGATTTGCCCGGGTCTTCCCTACAACCTACACACCAACTCCCCCTTAAAAAATCGAGGGTCGACCATCTCTCGATTACCCATTCACCACGCCACTGGTGTTATATTATTATCTAGGTATATCGGTATATGAAGTAATTCGTTTAAAGGTAAACGGTTACTTTGCCGGAAATTTATTAGATATGTTTTTGTAAGTATTTTTTGATCAGCCGAGTTGTAATATGTTTCGATCTATATAGCTATATACTATCGTGTCACTCGGTAGTCAACTATATGTTTATATAACTTTAAAAGTTGTGTAGGTTATTATAGATAATATATGACTAATTGATGCGCCCGTCGACTATCGTTTGGTTTTAATGTATTGACGTTTTTATTAAAAACATTATGTTATGGAATTTGACAATTTTAACGTGTACTATTTCCTATCATTTAAAAGATAATTCTTCAACAATTTTGTATTGTAATAACTTCAATCTAAATTGATTGATTAAAAAAAATCACCTTGTATAGATCTCACTATCATTGGTAGGTAATATATATCTATGATTAAACATAGTACATTAAAAAAATTCTGAAATCTAATATACACAATACTAGCAGTCCTATCATGCACACCGCTGCTCGTGCCAAACGGAGGGCCTGAGAGATGAAGGACTAAAGTTTTATGATCATTTGAACATTATATTATTAAGTAGATAATGCACCTACGGTGGATTTAAAACCCCGTGAGATGCGTATACGTATAAGTGTGTAATTTCTAATTCTAAAGTTTCAAAGTTATACCATGCTTATCGTTTTCACATAATCCAATCTACGGCAGATCGGATTTAATGTGTCAATGTTGTCTGGTTGTTTTTGGGGTGTTAAAAACTTTAAAGTAGAAAGCCATTATGTATTCAACCCTCTAGCTAAATATATACATTAAATAGTCATAACATGCAACTAATTGATCTCTTGGCATGCGATCAGTATAACATATTAATCAGTATAAGATTTAAAACAATTTTAATTTATAAAATAATTTTAAAAACAAAATAGTTTGAGATTAGAAAAATATTGTAAAGAAATTCGAATAAAAAATTCAAAAAGAACATTTTCTGACGAGATGTTTATACAATAAGGTACCATCTGGTACTCTTAAGGTCTGCCATACTCCGGTATTTTTGCCGTTGAATCCTTAATGGTTTTACCGCCGTGATTATTACGTTACCGTTCATACAGCCGTTTTTAAATCGACTAGCAATACTATACGCAATGGACGTGGATGGCTCAATCGATTTATAAAAACTACTCTTTAGACGGTAACTAGTCAATAGTAAATTTATACTTAATTTTACTTTATATATAAACAAAAAAATAGTAGATTTCACAATCCCCCATATGGCCTTCAAGTTTCGAGACAAAAAGTAGTTTATGTTTTTCTCAAACGTCCTACCTATTTTTAAACTAACATTTGTAAAAATTGGTTCCGAAGTTTAGGTTTAAAAGCTTAAAAAAGGAAGACTGAATTTGATATTTGTAATTATAATATATAGTATGAATTTATGATTTTAATGAAATAAAAATTACATTTTCCTGATTTAATAATATATTAAAATAAAATTGGCAATATAGGTATATTATAGGTAATATTCTGATTACGTATTCCAACTTAACTTTTTTTTTTTTAATTCCACGTAACAATTATATTYAATTTTAGTTTTTACCAACATAAATGTAAGATAATAATATAGGTAGTTACCTACCTAAATACAATATTTTAATTTGTTATTATTACTTAATTATTGGTGATTCTAGTGTCACAAACATTATTATGAAGTTTAAAACGCTTCAATTATGCAAAAAAATTGTTAAAATTGCGAATGTAATAAGAAATATGTAATGTATTGTGTTCAGAATTCCACTGCTTTTATTTAAAAATATCTAATGAAGTACCTAATGGTCTACCGAAACAGTATTATTCCCCCTAGTATATATTATAAGCACGGAAATAATATTTCCTGGATGTTAGCAAGAACAGTACGCATTATGGTTATTAAAAAGTTATTTTTATAYCCAATAGGTAATAAAAAGCCCTGCAATGTTCTCAACCATCCGCTCGAGGTAAAAAAATTTAATTATATGTGTATATAATATAGTAACCAGTACTCAGTACCATATATCAGCTACTTACTGACTAAACAATTTAAAATATAATTATAGTGTAGCCGTGTAGGTATATCTTTCTTTATGGTACAAATTATACTACGTGATGGAGGGTGCATAGAATTTACGAGCAGTTAGTGGTTATCTACCGAGAATCAAAGTTATAACTTATAATATATACATAAAACTATAAAATATAATATACCACTTCTGATGTCATGTAGAATGTAGATGTAGTCCATACTCCATTAGCACTTGTTTAGGAACTTGCRATTGTAATACATTAAAAATTATGATACCAAAATATATGACAATAAATATACAATTTAAACCTAATAATGAAACATTTCATCGGTTTAGGTGGCCATATAAATCTAAACTGGATTTTGGTAATTTGGACCAAGCTCATGAACTGATTTCCCCATAAACTGCTTATTAGGTCTATTGATGATAAACCAAAACAAAACAAAACCAAGATCAAGACTTTCAAAATATTGGTCTTGGTCTTGCACAAGACTTGTAAGACTTTCTATTTTCACAAAATATGTAAGAAAAAATTTAATACCTGTTTTAGATGTGTCTAGGTTTTTTGGTATGGTCTTAAGATGAAACTTAAGTCTTATATAATATATATTATTATAATAATATATTGATAATTCCAACATATTAACATAAAATAAGTCAAACAATTTAATTTTTATTACACTCTTTTAAAACTGCACATTTAATTTATATTTATATTATTTTACTTGTATCTATTCGTATTTGATAAATAAACTTACCAGCACAATTAAATTTGTAAGTTCTCATTACATTTATAATAAATATCAGTAGGTAATTACTAATTACTTATAAACTATTGACCAATATAATGTTTATAAAAATAAATTTTTTTTTTTTTTTTTAAATTTCACTTTATATGCTATACAGTATAAGACACTATAATTTAGGCACTCGATGTCTAGTACGGGAAAATCACATAAACTAGATAAAACTACGAATGAAAATAAAGACGTACTTCCAATCAAATGACTTCCAGCAATTATTAGTATATTCGACTCAAAGTAGAAGTGTATATAATATAGACATGCGTYATTCTATTAGCAAGATAACTTTCAATGTCTTTATCCATTTCGGAAAATTTTTCTGTATTTGCTAACTAATATGAAACAACCGTTTTATTTTGTAATATTAATTCCAATTATTTCTAATCCTTTTTTCAATAATTCACTATTTCTTCGAATAACCTAATGATCAAATTTAATAAAGTAATAACAATACAAATAATTTTTTTAAATTTATGTTATAATTTTTTAGTTAATGATGTATAGGCTATAAATATTCGGTATACTAATGTTTTCGGAGAAAAAAAACATTGATTCAATGTTGCAAAAATTTGAACTTCAAATACTCATAACAATTTAATTTGACTTTCTGGTAAACAATGTTTTTTCGATAAAGGTAGAAAAACTTAGGAGGAATCTTACATTAAATTTTGAACTGAAACATTTTCATGAAAATCTCAATTCCAACTCTAAATACATTGTAAATTTTTGTGATTTTCAAGTATATGATCAAAATTCTAAATTAAGTCGCTAATAAAAAATTATTCTGGATTTACACTCATCTTTTTTTTTTCACTAAAAAAGTTTTATGTGGAACATTTTATTCAATTTTCAAGTTTTTTGACCAAGTGAAAATTTTTTTATCGACATAGGTAAATTAAAACAAAACTTATCATAACCAAAATCTTTGCTCAATATGAGTCAAAATATTTTGATGTAATTTTACGGTGTTTAGAAAAAGCTGATGTAAACATTTAATGAAAATATCATGTATCTATGGTAATTTGTTTTAGTTACATCCAAAACTAAAATCGATTTAGTAGAAAATCAATTTTGCATAAAAATTCCTGCATTTCATAAATTTTTTCTTGGTGCTTTTATAAACTACTGTGATTTTTAAATTTTGACCTCCCGAAAGCGCCAACTAGATTCACTTTTTCAACGGAAAGATACTGAAGTTGAAAATCGAAGTCTTATTTTTCTAAATGAAAATGTTGTCAATTTTAAATGTATATGTACTTATATATTATATTTTGAAAAATTTGAAAATCATCATCTCCCTTCTTAATCAATCGGCTGTTGATACATACGAATGTAATATTGTAATATTCGGTTAAACTATATAAATTAAGGTTCATTATGACTTCAACACTGACATGATGTATGAATTTAACTTTTAAAATGATTACATTAATTTTAATATTATAAACTATTCAGCTTTATGTAGGTACCTATTTAATTTTAGACAATTATGTGCTAGGGGTTATCCCGTAATACTTTACCGTAGTGTGGACATGGGAAAATCGTGTTTTCGTGTATTTTTGAGGGTAATGCACTGCGCACAATTTGTTTTTGGTTGTAAAAAATTGTTCAAAATAAATTAACTACACAACTGAATAATTTTTAACTTTAAATTCGTAYTTAGCTATGCTGGTATAACTACGGTCATTATAATATTTACCATTGCAGTGCGCATAATACTTCTGCGAATTCTCGCTGGTATACTTACCTATATAGCGATGCCGTTGACTGTTGCAGGTGTTGTCTCCATTACTGAAGAGTAAAGAGCTGTGTCATTACGCGGGCMGATTGCACGAGTGCTTTGAAACGGCCATCCGCGAAGTGGACAGCGGCTTGGGCGCGTTTTTCGTGGACAACGCTATCGACCAGTGGTCGGCGTCCGCGGCCGACGTGCCGTCGCTGTGCCGGACGTTTTCAGCGTTGTACTTTGAAGCGTGCGGACCGAAAGCGAGGAGGCAGACCCGCCAAAGAGTAGTCRGCCACATAGGCGGTTGCCTGTTAAGGGCCGCGGCGGTGGCAGTCGTGGACGGTACGGCGGTGGCCGCGTTTCAGGCGTATGCTAAGTTATGTGAACGGCTGATCGACGACGAGGCCACCGTTGCCGCTAACGAATGGCAAAAGTGTGTCGATGGCGACGCAATGGAGCGCGTGGCCGAAGGGCTGATCGCCGTCCATCGGGACCACAGTGATTACGACTGCGTCCACCTCGCCGGCCATCTACTCAGGCGACTGGTCAGCGGCGAACGCTGTTTGGTTGGCGACGCTTGTCGGCTGGCCGTGTTAAGTGTTCTGGTTGAAGACCGACCGCGGACGATGACCGAAAACCTTGTCGATAGCACGTTTTGAAACATGGTTTAAACCATTTTAAAAGTATTTATTTAATTTTATTATACGTTATAGGTGTGGTTGCTACTATCGTAGGGTATTACATACCTATAATATCTAACAACGATCATATTTTATGAATAAAAATATCACACGATTAAATCATCAGCTTTGTTTTTGGTTTCAAATCAATGGTGAAGTGTCTTGATAAAAAACATATTAAGACATTAGAGTTGAAGCGATTTAAATATAATATAATTATTGTTTTCATGATGGAATAAGGAACCTGAAGGGTTTTAATATTTAGACGGCTAGTATTTGTTGTAAATTAGGGTTCCGAAATCCGGAACAATAAAATGGCAGCCAGCGGGGGTTATGTGTAATATGCTCTTTTAATTGGACAGATGGTTTGCATTTGTTCTGCTCTCTACAACGGAAATTCAGTTTTATGCATTTGTCTTTTCATAAACCATTTTAGTGTATTATATCCACGTTGTACGATATAATGTTATACCTACGATTACCCAATGTCTGACATAAAGTAGGTATAAGATAGGTACTTATCATTATAAACTATAAGTAATCATCATACTTATATTTTCTATAAAAATATATTTACGTTCAAATTGTATATTGAGCTAAAAATATTATGTTTTAACATGTAATAAAACGGTATAGGTACCCAAGCGAGGTACTAATTRCTTATTCGTGTTATCAGTATTATCATAAACTCGTTAAGTTTATTATAACTACCAAAATTAAAAATGCTCGAAAAAATAGTTGCATTAATTAGACCTTTGTTATAACTGATATTTGTCTTACATAAAAAGATTATATCGTTAAAGTTTTGGTTTAATTGGTTATCGTGAAACAATAACAATTAGCAGGCTATGATTTATACGCTATAGTAATTAATAGTATGTTTTTTTATTCGAAACATAAATCACCTAATGCGTATTGATACAAATGATCTATTTTTTATTTTGAACATTATTGTATATTTTAACTAGGTATAATATGATAAATACGGTATGTTAAAAAAATAAACGAATTGGTTGTAGATAATGAAAAAAGCTATATTATACGTTCATCTAAGTTAAATTTCATAAAATAAATGATTTTGTTATTGATGAAAATGATGTAAAAGTGTTATAGATTTATTGAAGAGTAGGTAGGTATTTAAGAATAATAAAAATAATTTAGCTTACAAAAATAAGTTACTTAATAATCTGCTTTGAGCTAATTTTATGCTTTTATTTTACTCATTGCTAGTGTATTATTGCTTGGAAAATATAAATACATTTATTGCAGTGTATTTTAATTTATTTTGATTGTATAGCTAACACAAATCACATCTATTAATGCGTATTTTATATTGATTATAATTTATATAAACCGCAATCCTAAAAAAATCTGAATCAATCGAGATACAATTATATGCTATAATAGCCTTTAGGTATAGCCACTAGCCAGATAGCAATAAATCATTTTAGTAGATACGGTATACCTTTAGGTAATTTGTATATGTCGTTAAAATTGTCAACAATTTTCGCTTAAAAAAAGTTTACGAATTAATTATAAACCATAGGTAGGGCTCGGAAGTTATAGCATTGAAACGTTACTTTTTACCACTTTAATATACATTTAAATATGCCAAAATATGTGCTGTAATATGAAAAATTGAGAAGTACCTATGAGGAATAAAACTTTTATCTGTATCCATTTKTAAATGATGATWTACCTAAAATTAGCGAAAAAATATCTGTATAAAAGTAAAAACCATAAATATGCAAAAACTCAGCTAAATTAAATTTCAAATATGACACTATAGTCCAGGRAAGTGTGAAACAAATCTGTGTTATATAGTTGAAGATATGTTTTAAGACCTATAGCAAAAAATATGTTCTTGCTAAAATTTTCTAGYCGTGCCTATATGGCCTACAAATTATAATTTATATGTAATGTATGAATAAACTGAATTTATGCGTATACTCGTTTGTAGGCGTTTTAATAATTCCGTGGCTACAGTAATATTGAGTGTTATTTTTAAATTTTTTTTAAAATAAAACCATCATTTTGTAATAATATTTTATTACATAGGTAGTGATATTAGGAGGTATCCGGTACTGTGGTATTGGTATACATCGCAACCGATCACCATACTGCAGTCTGCAGTATACGTCATGTTTCGACGGTGGCCACCCTGTACAACGGGATATTTTGAATCCCTACCGCTTTCTGCTGCTGTTTCCTGCGGAACCGAAGCTCTTCACGCACGTTTCCTTCAGTCGTGCGTGTGTGCGGTCTCGTGTTCGCGCTTGTGTGTTATTCGTTCGATCGACCGCGATTTTTCTGCATAATATATCATCTGGTAATTCATGATTATAATGAAATGCTAAAACTACAGTTTGCGTGTATGCGGTTCGGATTATGTTCTTACATTATACGATGCGATGTCCATAACCGAAAAACCATCGTAATGTCCTTAATCGTTGAATTGTATTTTTTATACATTCGTCCGACGTAAAAGCTGAATAATAAGTATGTACCTACTATAAATTATAAGTATAGTATTTATGTGATAAATATAACGTATAATATAAATATAAAAATAATACTATGTATTATATGATAACAAAAAAAAAAAGAAAAAGAAATAAATATATCGGATAGAACATTATGATAGAAATTGACGTTGGAGCGTACTTTTTTATTACATGAAAGTATACTTCGAACTAAAGAATGTTAATAAGTAATAACTATATCATATAGGTTACATTATTAAACTGTAGATAGTAGATACATAGTATTGAATCTGTWGGTACATATTTTAATTTATGAAAAAGAAATAATTGACTAGGAATCTAAAGAATTATTCTGAGGTAAGTACTAAYTGGCAACTATACCAGCTATATCAGCTATGATAAATAATAATATAAGGTTCTTGTTCTAAAAATCAACAATATATCAATGTAAACCACTAACCAGTAAACCACATAAACTATACGATTAAAATCAGATTTTCAGTATGGATTAATTAATTTATAAATAACTCGCTTGTTTAYCTGGATGTTACTATAATTTACTATGTATAGTATAATAGGTATAGTACCTATACCTTATATTTATTATTTAACTTAATTTATCAATGTGTACATTTTTTAAATTTTACTTATAATTATTAAATTTATTTACAAACCTATAAAATTGTAATAAAGAAAATTGTTTTGTCCTCTATATCATATATAATTTCATAATGTAATTCATTCGATATTTTGTACTTATCTTATATTTCTCAAAGGCGAGAAATGCATTACGAGATCAAAMGARTTGTTAAAAAGAATCATATGAATATACAACAATTATTCTTCTAGACTCAGCTTTTATGATAAAAAACCTTTCATGTTAAACTACATATATTTATCACACCCTAGAAGTATTTTATAAAAAAATCAAAGTACACTTGAATCATTTTTTACATAGATTTTAATAAATATTATTCATTAAATTTTTTTTCTTACACAATATCAGTTTGTTTTAAAAGAGCTGAGTTAATCCACTTTGATGCAATGATAAAAAATATAGAAAAAAGTTAGACAATTATTAAATTATTAAATTTTTWAAATATTAAAACAATATGTATGGTAGTTACATATAAGTAAATAATAGTAGGTACCTATAGAACTTAGTAGTTAAAAAAGTATACGATTTCCGAATATGTAAATAGATATACTTATTACATGATGACAATTACTTCTATGTTTTAATTTTGGAGTTTTCAATTACATTTTGAAATACACACCAAACAAATTTCGAAAAAATCTAATTTAAGGACTAAAAACTGTAATAAAATAAATAGCAATACTAATTATTAATACAAATGCAGTATTAATTATTTATATGCTTGAAAATTAATATAATGTGCYGAAAAAAATAGAATGTCCAATATATAATGAGGAAGTATATGTTTATGTAATAAAATCTGGTGATTTTTTCTCTTCTTTTTTTAAATCAATGGTACGCGAGGCCTGTAGAATCATATAAACAAATTGTCTGCATACCTACAATGTCAAAATATACAAACATTTTTATAAATAATATATACAATATTACAACTGTAAACTCGTGAGTTCATAAAACAGCTGAAACTAAATCGAATTCCCGAAATACAGTAAATAATAATACATTTGTACATATCTATTTGGAATTTCGATGATTTTACATCTACAACTGTAGAATGTAGATGGTCTATATAAGATAAGTATAGTGTTATTTATTATATAGTATCTATTATCTACTGCATTAGTAGTTTAAAAATATTACCATTCACAATAATATTATGTATTCCTAATAAATAGGAACCTTGGGATTTAGTACTGTTTTTTTGAATCTGTCTGCAGGAAATAAAGATAATTTTAGATGCTTACAAACGCTTAGTATGATCCTTTGCAATGTAAATATAATACACATTCGATTGACATTACATACACACACACACATATATATATATATAATATATAAACCTAGAGAGGGAAAGAGAAAGTGAGGGGAGGGCTATAGAGTAAAGAGTTAAACTGTATATTTAGATGGATTGGGACACAGAAATATAAAATAACTTTTCAAGACAAGATATGAACATACACATGGTATGTTAAAACTTAAAACCAATAACTTATTTGATTCGTGAAAAATCGAACCTAAAAACATAATATTAATATTATATATTATACAAATGGTAACTAACACTATAGATAAGTATAATAYAATACTTTCTCGGTAAGTATCAGAAAATTGTATTTTTAATATAGGCAGATGTAGTCACTAAACGTATAGTGTATACATGGTATTCTTCACAATGTACACGAGCATTAGGTGCATGGTAGGTGGTGTATTTGTTGGTAATAATACATTTACACATAAATTAGTTGTACCTACCCAAGTGTTGCTACAGAAGTTCAAAATACTAATTCATAAATATAATATTATCTAGAACCTAGGTACCTATCATATTTAGATTTGACATTTTAAAGTAGAACCCCCCCCCTTTTTTTAAAATAAAGTAAACATAATATTATATTTTAATAGGCGTTGCAATTTCACAGTGTAATGTATACTTAAATGGCTAAGAAGATACAGCTTGCATCTAGGTCTTGAAAATTATTTAAAAACCATGAATAATTGGATGACGGAGGATATTATTGCTATTTATCATATTAATTTTAAAAAGTCGACGATTTTTATTTTTACAAAATCATATATTTAATTTTAATATCGATAGAATAGTATATAGGTCATTTTMATATTATGCTAATGATGTTGCTGATAATAATGAGCGCATAATAATACCTATTATTTGCATACCTATCCTCAATGCGGAAAATATTATAATCTGCATCTACTTTTTGTACATTGCAAGTACGTTCAAGTTCTAAAGTGCAAGAGGTTATTTCACATTCAGTATAATAGCCATGATTACATGCACTGCTATTGAGTCCAATCCCTTGGGTAGGAGGTGCTCTAGCAGCTGTTTGTTTTTACCGACACCCCGTGGTTGTCGTTCGGCACTTGTAATAAATACACGCACTATACGCGACAAGTAGTGATATAATTGGAACTAGCGGAAAAGCGGGTAGATGGTATAGAGTACAATGGATCACGTTCCACGTCATTGTGTGCTGGCCGAGGGGTAAAATTGCACGGCTTAGATTTTTCGTTTCTATTGTACTTTTCCGGGAAAACCAGTGATAATATATGCGCATTTTATCACGACTATTGATTAATATAATTCGTATCAAAAAATAAATCACGAAACATATTTTTTAAATTTAAGTCGTGGTATTTTTAATATTGTTATTTTATTTTTTAAATAATTTAAAATGAAAACCCATCTGCTTTGAAAATAAACAACCATCATGGACGACATTTTAATGACATTTCCAGGGATCATTAAACGATGTAAAACAGATTTTAAAAATATATTTTACAAATAGTTTCTACGAATATAATTATTATATTTTTATGCAACCATATTGTCTAGAGTCTAGATCTAAATAATATTTTGTCTTCTTTCTAGTTATGTTATTTAATTTTGTTAAAGGTTGGGAGATTTAAATTTGGAATACATGTACATTACATAGTTTATATGACATTTAACTACTCACTTTACCTACATAATATCTTTATAATAGGCTAATAAATTAATATATACATATTTAGTTTATTATTATTATTTACTAGTATGCCAAAGTTATTATTTAATAGGCAAACAATGATTTATTTAATATTATTATCCTTCATTAAAATTGTGAAAAAATAATACGAAAAATGGACTGTAGTGTGCGTTCTCTTTTTTTTTGGAGGGAAGGGAAGAAAAAACATAAATTACAATTTATAATGAAAGCAAGAGGCTAGAGGATATTTTATATTTTACACTTATTTATCGTAACGCGTGCACTATTGAATRACTAGTCAATAATTATTAATCTCAATACATTTTTTCTTTAAAATATTAATAATACATAATATTAATTTTTCATTGTACGTTTACATTTTTTCAATACAGCATACAGTTCAATAGTACAATGTATCGTAGTCTTTAGGTAATTTTTTATTAGTTTTAATTATTTAACAAACTGAGGTAGATATTTAATTGAAATGATATCCAAGCCCACAATAAATTGTAAACAAATACCCTTAACATATTATTAATTTTTTTTTAGTGATAATAAGGCTTCAACAACAAGGTCATTAGCCTTTGATATAGGTTTACAAATATAATTAATTGTTTTTCATTTTATATTAAATTATTGTAATGAAATATAAAATACAAATATATATTAATTTAGGTTTTATATAAGTTTAATATATATTTATTCTCGTAAATGCTTATCATATATTTAATTTTTTACAACTTTCATAGATGCCTAATACCTAGGTAGGTACTTGGTGAAATCAAAATTATTTTCTAATTCAGCGAATTGATTCATTAAATAATAATATATCTACTACTTAGTTTTTTTTCAAGATGGACGAGGTTTCCTTTTTTAAATTGAAATCTTTAAAATTGTTACAATTACAAAATTCTGCATCAACTATACTTAATATCGTGTACCTACCTAGGTATTTTGACTGAAAATCTAAAATGATCCGCAAAGTAAATCAATTTTATCATGACTGTAATTACTGTCGGATATGTCTTATATGTGACCCCACACGTTTGTTGAGTAATAAGAACAAACTGTAGCCTTGTCATAATTAATTTCTTCTCGGAGGATTTATTGTGACTTTGTCGGTGCTGGATAGATGTTTATGAGTTATGACAAACTGTTTTTACGCAGATGAAAGGGTTTCGTTTCCCCTCTTAAATAATATACTCTAAATAAAAATACTATGAACGAATGGCGGTTAAGAAATAAAGAAAAAATTCCTATCGAGGATATTATTATAACTTACCGGCGTATGAATGACTCCAGACGGATTTCGTTCCACAATTAGCTCTGTTTTACTCAGGGAACCTGTTAGTCGCTCTGAAATGTTGCCAAACCTAAAATCTTGTATAAACGTTATTGATGTATTTAATGATAATTTTAAATCGCCTTTTAAAATATATTGGCACTAGGGGTCTTTATTCGTCAGCCCACAGGGTCCATTAGAGTGTTTTGTTTAAAATTGTGAATAAAATTTTAATATTATAATATTACATTTTATTTATTAAATATTCAAATATTCATAAGTCATGAGAAAATTTAACTGTCTTTTTAAAACTATTATTATTATTATTATTATTATTAAGTTGCGATTCCAATTATATTCATTAAAAACTTTTAGTTTTTGAAATAATAGAGATATCTTTCATTAATATTTTATGCAAATTTTCTGAAAATTTGATTCAAAAGCTTGGATTTAACAAAATAATTTTTAATATGTGAACACAGTTATTATTTTTATTAATAGGGTATATTAATATTATAATGATGGCTCTATATTATTGCATTTTATATTGTTATAGCTTTTGAAATACTGGCGAGCTACTTTAGAAGGCATTAGCACTAGGTAGAAAAATCTTATTAATAACAACCGATTTTCCTATAGAAAATACATCGTCTTGAAACTGTCAGTAATTTTCACTCAATTATTAATTATCTGTGATATTGTTTTCACTGTTGCTTTATTATACATATATTAATGGACCACTATAGACGTAGATGTGGCATAATTATTTATAAATATGAACAGGAAACTTTTATCGAAACTATATGATGAGTATTRCAATAATTTGTTATAATATCTTATTAACATTGTTTACCATATTATGGTCTATAATAATCAAAAAAATATAAAAATAAAAATAATATAGGTAGTTCAAATAATAATTGATATAACGATTTATTTAATATAAGACTTACTGTCTATAATAWAGGTTATAATTGTACTTTTGTACAACTAACCAACAACTACCCACTGAAATGTTGTTCACGCCAATAAGGTTCAGGAAAAGGTTGACGATCCCTGAACTAAAGGCAACAGATARAAAATATCTTATTAATAACTAATTTTCTTATAGAAAAAACATCGTTTTGAGTCAATAATTTTCAATTTATTATATGTAATATTTTTTATACTTGACATTGTTTCTGTATATTTATCAAATATTCATTATCTATATATGCAGACTTAGAAATGGCATAATTATTTATATTATGAAGAAGAAACTTTTCCCGGAACCTTATTATGAGTATTGCAATTTTCAGAGATTTCTTGTGACATTTTATCTTTATGAAATAATCAATTACAATAGTCTATTGGTCTATAATATTTTTAAAAATAATATAAAAAAAACTTCCATACGGTTGGGAACAACAAACGAAAAATAGCTTGAAAGCAGGAATATATACGCAACACCAGTTTTCTATAAAACTTAATTTTGTTTTTGATTATACATAATGTATAAATGTATTATAATTGATAATATAATACATAATACATATGCATAATTTATATACGGAAATACTGGATAGGTAACCTTTAACACTTATAAATTATAATTATGACGAATGTTTAATATAATATGATTTTATATATTTTTTACATATTTATAGAATTTTCAGTATTTTTTCTTTCGATTTACATCATTAAAATTTTAGTGTTTTGATAAAAGAATATGAAAATTGAATAAAATTGTTCTCATAATTTATTATTACAGTAGTATGAAAATATCTATATATACACAATTTATTTTTATAAGTATCTATATTACTTGAAGCTTAAGCTGGACAAAATTGGATAATATTTATTATTTATACAAAAAATACACTGTTTTCTCTAACAATTTTAGTATTTTATATAAATAGAAGAAAAAATATTAATTGAAAAATTTGAAACTTCTCGCCATTACCATAAACCTTTAAACTCCAATATGTACAGTTCGCATATATTTGACTAATAAATTATAATAGATACGATAGGTATTAATAATTATAGATGTAATAAATATATAATAATTTAATGTGATGTTTATGACAAAAATGAGTTCAACTTACCAAATTAGTATAACAGTTATATAAAGTATGTATTGAAATAATATCCTTAATAACACAGAATGTTTTCGCTACATATTATTTTTCTTAGGTTAACTTAGTCTAATTTAAACTGTTACTTACTCATCAATGACTGTAGGTAATACAACACACACTAAACTTACCACACATCGAAACAATTTCTCCGTTTTATTTTCTGGTCCAGCAATATTTAATGATATTTCATCCTTAAGACCTAGCTAATACCTATAGTAGGTACTATATATTATGTATGCTGAATGCTTATAGTTACGTCTTATAAATATGTGAATATAGTTATTAGTTATTACARTGTAATGCATATGAATACAATTGAATTGGTTTACCTACTCGAGTATTCGAGTGTTATAGATGCAAGTACCTAAATCTTGTAAATTCATCAGGTTTGATTAAACCTATAATTTTGGTAAGTGTATATTTTTTAAAGGAACTGATTTTTTTTAACCAAAGGTTTGACTTTATTTTTTATAACYAGTCGATCGGAATTATAATTTATAACTATATGTTTAGTGAAAGTATTCTTTTACGAATGTTATCACCCTGCTTTGGTTATTATTTGCCTATCAGATACTGATAACATGTTTTTATATTATACATTATAAAATGSAGAGATGTTTAAAAACAAAATAAACCTATTAGTATTTTTTAGTACATTTTAATAAATATAAGTTTAGGTTTAGATACATATTTCTGTGTGTAGGTACCAATAAATATTATTTTATTGAAACTTATTTCTGTACATTTGTGAGATAAGTTTCAGGATTTTCGTTAGAACACAAACTACAATATAATATAACCCTTTTTAGAGTTATCGGATGATGAGTAAGTCTATTAGCTTTCTGTCGCTAGCGGATTCGATGAATCCCGCGATTATTTTTAATCAACACAATACGATAAATTATACTGTCAAAAACGGTGTAGGGTCAGCACATGCAAAGAACGGGGGATAAAAACACCCTCTTTCGTTCTACGGTGGGAGCATTTGTATAATGTATAAGCACATAGTGTGTCACCCTCTCCAAAAATTATGTGTCCGATCTGCGAACAATCGTTTGGGAAGAAACTTTTTTCAGGGTGGACACAACAAAGAAAACTGTTATTACTGTACAGAAATATAATGGAAGTAATCATTTTTATGAATTATATTTTGATATGTATACAACCATAATATTTTGAAAAAATTAAAATAATTGTTATAATACGAGTCATTTAATTGAAATATAGGTTACAATTGGGCTGTAGAACTTCGTATGTGAGAATTTCACACGATGATTATAATGTTCATTACTTTGGATATAACAGCAACAATTAAAAATCTATATTATTATAATTATAGTAAGTTTAGACAGTATTTCAGTTCGATAGTCTATGAATTATAGTCTACGTTTATCATACCTAATAAAATTTAAAATTGTGCTTGTGTTCATAGGTAAATCATAACTCTTAATCTACGATGATCAATGATATATTAAAGGCCTACATTTAAAAAAAAATTATAATAATTGAATTGTATTCAAAGGTATATTTTGTATCAATGATTAAAAAGTACCTATATTTTTCCAAATTTTAAATTATAGAACAAATAAAATAAATTTAAAAATAATAAAATATGCGATATCAGGAAGTATAGTTGATTAAAAAGGAACGGACTCATCGAATCGTGAAAGGGGAAATAAGTCTTCTCCATTGTTATTTTGACAATCGCTGTAACTGACATATTATACTTTTACTATTGTGGTATCATTTACATGAACTCTGATATAAGTCCAAATAGGTTTCTTCATTGTATTTTTCCAGTAGTATAGAAAACACGGGTTATGGATCACAATATTACATTTTTATTTTTATTTTTCCCAAAAGGCCAAAWCTCTAAATATTCTTATATTTAAATGTTGTTTTTCATATTTTCTACAAAAAAATCTGTTTTATGTAGGTAACCTATAGCTATCTAAATATATTTTTGTTAATATTAGTATTATTAGAAACTATTTGTGTTGCTATAGATTAGAAAATATGAGGGAAAATACTAATAAAAGTAATACTAATTTTTAAAAGTAACAGCCATAAAGAATATGAAAGATAAGTCTTTACATAATATAGACTTATAAATAGGTACCTACGCTGATTACTGATTAGACTAGATCAGTAAACACAGATGACGTATTGCAAATATTATATAACATAAAATACATATTATACATCCTTAAAGAAATACTAATTAAAATTTTATTCATTTTATAATTTTTAACGATAAAATATGTAAATATTTTTTTTTTACCAGATGGCTACTTTGGAAATTACGACTTACGGGAGGCCACCGAGTCGTGGAGACATGGCGACAATAATAGATGGACGAAACAAACGGCTCAAGATTGGAAAAACAATGAGGAGAACATCACCAATACCCGTTCTTCCTCCTAGAATTCCTACACCTATGCCAAATCAACCAAAAGATAGGTAGGTTACTAATTAACTTAATGTATACATCACTATAGATATTACTGTATTTCTATATTTATACATTTAAACATAAAGTTAATTTTAGTACCAACGAATGTCAATAATTATACGGTAATTATGTGACTCAAGACTTCCTTATAACAGTTATAATAACGTACACATTTTTAGGTATGAGATAAAATATAAAACATAAATCATCRCTGAATTGAAACGGGTTGGATCCAGTTTAACAATTATCAACATAGATAGGATCGAAAATAAAACAAAATAAGTAATAATAACTATGTCTTTTATAATAACATAGATATGAATAGGTAGATATGATATGAAATATGACTTCGGTGGATTGGTGTATACCATATAGATAAAACTGTGAAATATGTATAAGTTACATTGTTACAACATAATGTTTATTAGTTATTAAATTACTATTTACTATAGGATCTATAGGTGTGTAATATGTAACCTATGTTACTTAAGTTAATATAAAGGTATTATATAACAACTGAATATTATTGTTTAGGTAATACATACCTAAGTATTATATTTTATACAATTTAAAAAAATTAAATATTTTACATGTATTGAATTATTTTATAACTAAACCTAAAGGGTTTTATGTACCTATTGTACTTATAAGGTTTTCAACAAAGGGCTAGTCCATACAATATAGGTAGTTTGAGCGATCACCTCTGCAATTTTCTAAAATTTGTTTTGATTCATATTTCAATAATAATCACAATAAATATTACATTTATAATATTATGTATGGACGTATGGTAAAAATGTACGGCAGAGGTAAAATACGGATGCCCCTCCTGTAACATATATTTTTTTCTCCAAATAAAGTATAGAAATTGGTGCAAATATAAGACATTGTCTTATYTATAGATATAAATAATAATTGACAAGGATTTGTGTTAACGAAAATTCTGCCCCCCTGCCAACAAGTCTGTCCATGCCTAAGTTTTAAGAGCCTGACCAATGTTTTCTGACCTACGAAACACACAATAATGCTTTTACGTTATTGTATTATTTGAAAGTTTGCAAAAGCCTCTCTAACAAAAATAAATGGTGACCTACTGTTTTTTTGTTTAAATATCATTTATGATTTGAAAACAATAGAAAACACAGATTTTCTGTCTATMAAAAAGGGTGGGGGCGTGACAGAATACTACAGGTGCCCATACTATAAATTCTGCGAAACGCACTAACTAACCAAAAACTTACCTAACTTAGAAATCCTAAAGTACCCTCTCTACACCCAATGATCTATGTTGCCACGGGTTAACTAAATAGAAAAAAAAAGGTAGGAAAAGAAAACTTGAACAATCATAAATTTATATAATATAAAYATTGTACATAAGTAGCCAGTAAGTATGCAAGGCGAATTGAGGCCTTTAAGTTATTCTATATCTACATTATGGTACACGCGTATAATGGAAACCCTCCTTCAGTTCAAATTTGTATTTGACTATTATTTTCATACTCACTAACACTATTTCATACCTACATAATTGTGAACATCTGACTTGAATAGGATTAGATTCTAGTTTMTCGTATCTGCTATATAACATGACATTTACTTATAACTTATACTTACTAGTTATACGTGATAAGCATTTTGGTTGAGCCAATCACTGCGCTTAATTATTTTTCCTGGATATCATGATTATATATATATATATATATATATTATATTATATTATATTATATATGATATCATGATATCACTTCACGGATCAGTGTGAAGTTGACTTTAGTGTCATTCATGTCTATATTTATGTACTATTTAGTTATGTAGTCATGTAGGTATTCCTAAAAGTTTGTCTGTTGTTCTTTCATATTGTAATTTTATTTTGTATTTAAATTAAAAAATATGTAATTTTTTTATTGGTATCCATTGAATAGTAAAAATAGAATAACATTATTTTTACAGTTCCTCAAAACTGAAAATTGCCAAATACGAAAAGACATATCAATCTTCTATAGCGGCTCGTATGTTACTATTTACAACTGATTCTGAAAAAGACAATGAAAAACGCATCGTAAATTATAAGGTAATGCATATTTTAGAAATATAATAATACTGTAGGCGATAACTATTTATGATTTTTTTTTAAAATAAAAATATACTATTATTATAAATGTGATATAATATTTTATTCTTATATCCTTATTTAGTACCACAGAAAATAGATCTGTTGTTAGTTTGATGTTTAAATTGTAACTTTTTGGTATTTTGTCTGATTTAAAATTTGTTGTAACTTGTAAGTCTAGGTAATTTTGCAGTATTTTTCCAATAATATTGTTATCGTACTATAAATAATATGTATTCAAGATTATTAGCTTTATTGTACTATAGGTAGGTATATTATTAAAATTAATTAATATTGTCAAAATCCGTAAAATGTATTAAATGAATACATTAATTGGTAGGTAAAGTCGTAAAGAAAAAGATTACGGATGTCTAAATAATGAGGTGACTATTATTTTGTCAACTGAGCATGATGGATTCTGAATATTACAATATGTTACGCAAGTTAACTTAGTGAATAATGTGTTCGTCAGATAGCGCTTGAGTAGTAATGTTATCTGATGTTCGATAGATAGCGCATGACTATTCAGTTTTATTAGTGGAACACAAGCTTTCTCATAAAAATATGAACGCGAAAAATGCCCTTTAAAAACACGTTTGCGCGTTCAAAGAATATGAGTCACTGAGTGGTTTTATTGTAAAAACAACTATGAACAAAAACAAAATTGAAGAGGAGATTAAAATTTGGTTCCGTAAGAAGCCCGATTTTTAATTTTTTTTTAAATTTTAAGTCCTAAAAATGACTCTTGAAAAAAATAAAAAACGGGCATGGTTAAACATGAAATATTGTACAGAGTTTTACAGATATAAAAAATCGGACTTTTTTCAGAACCAGATATGAATYTCCTCCAMAACAATTTTGTTCTTAGATGTTTTTACAATAAAATCACTTAGTAACCACTAACTCGTATTCTTTGAACGAGCAAAGTATGTTGTATAGGAAGAGCGTTGTATGTCTACACGTATCCGTGRGACGTCCTCTTAATTTTTAACTTTCTTAAGCTGTCAATCAATTAAATGTGTATTGTATGACTGATTGAACTTTGAGTGATTTAAATATAATAAGAACCAATAAGTTATACAATTGAAAACATTTTACAGATTTTGTTCATCGGGTATTACAATTTATAATAATTTTTATTAGGTAATTGTTTAATTTCATATTATTTTATATAAAACTCGTATTGTTCTAAACTTTATAAAAGTTAAAGTTCAATAAATGGCTAAAAATGTTCTTTACTTGAATCAATAATTTAAAAAATACCCAAGCATACCAAAATTGTTTTTAAATTTATTCTCAAGTGTCTTATCTAAATATTTTAGATTAGAATAAATTAAAATTTTATTTTATTCATGAATTATAATTCTTGTTTTATTGAAACCGAATGTAGCCATAGGCGTGTTTAAAACTTTTTCGCATATCTGGCCAATCGTATTTTTTTGGGAAGTTTTTCTTACATGAATTTAGTTTCTTCATCGTGCAGGAGCGTATTGGCATGTCGGAAATTCTGAAACTTTCAACATTGGTTTTTTAATGAATAATATTTCATCAAATAAATTATATCATAATATTAAAAAACTGTTGATTTATGATTTTAAATATTTTGAAGTAGCACTATCACTGATGACCCAAGTGGTAATTAAAAAATAAATAATCAACTTATTTTTATTCAATTATTTTGTATTTTTCTTTATATTAACTTTAAACTTTTAAAGGGAAATATATTATTTGTTATCTATTAAACTAATATTAAGGGTCGTAGTAAGTGGAAATTGAGGATCAGAGTGGTCGACCTCAAATAGTTGTGAGAGAAGGCGAAGGAGAAGAAGAATAAGATCTATTAACCTAATACATCTGAATATCCTTAACGTTTACTTAACTAAATTAATTAAAGTTAATGTTAATCATTTACACGTTTTCAATCGAACAATTAAAAATAAATAACTGTATCAATAAATTATTTTGGGTTTGATAGAATTGTTGAAAATTAAAATTATGGAGAGAAGGTTTATAAAAATAATCAAATACGTATAACTAAACTTTAAATTTAGCATGTATTCGAAATCTAATTTGGATAGTTTTAAAAACGGATTTCATAAAWATTATTTAAATGTTCCTTATTAAGACTTGAATTTTTTTTTAACAAAGATACCGCAGTGAACATTTTTAAATAGATTATTGGTGGCTGATTAAATTGTGAGTATTTATTGTCGAGGACAAGAAATATCACCAATCTTAGGAATTTCATAAAATTTCTAAATATTGGTTTTAATTATATAATATATGTACAATTGCTTATGAAATGTAACACTACTACAATATTTATATAATTTATATACTATTTGTTTATACCTGAGTCCTGAATACTTGATGCTGGTATTGGACAGCTAGGTTAAGTTTGAATAGTATTAATTGTATAATCAGCAAAAAGATACTATCGTTGTTTTGAATTTTTTTTAAAGTCTCATCAATACTTTGTAGTTAAATCGACTAAAATTATTTGATAAAAGTATAATAGTACCTATATGTAGTTGCTTTACGTTTATTTACCCATATTAACCACATTTACTATTTTATATGAACTACTTATATTTTAAAAAATGTCTTTTAAAAAAACATGAATTTTATCGTGTAGATTCAATATAATGTTTTTTTTTTTAAACTATTTGTTTTCTTACTTATCTACTTTTTTCAAATATATCATCAAAATGGTATTTCAAAAGAATATGTTTTACCACGTTAAATCTATAATTTAAAAACWAAGTCAAAACAATTTTTGAAATGCCCAACATACAGAAGAAGTAGTAAGGTCGAAGCAAGTTGTTTTTTCAGTCAAAACAATTATACGAATGGAACATTTTCCGGTGCGTTGCGTGCTGTGGCGGTGTAATAACGCGCTGTATGCATTCTTGATTATTAAAACGCCCAACGGTTTGGACACTCGTAAAAGTTTACGATGTCTGGTAAAGGATGTGKGAAGGAAGGGTGAAACAGCACAAAGGGTTAGTGCAATTTCGYTGTGTTCGGTCTCTGTAGCATCATTTTTTCATGGTTGAACTTGCGAGTAGAAATTTTTACCTGGTAGAAGATGGGTTTTCTCGATTCGTTCAAACGAAATTTTTACCAATAAAATTGATATTTACTGTTGTGAATTCGAGATGTTTATAAACGATAGCCAGTGTACATAACGGAGATGACTCAGCTATAGTATGCTATTGAGAGGGTGTGACGGTATATCACCTAAATCCTGTCATCGGCGATAAAAACAGATCTCACGGTGTTTCCCCTACGTCACCCTCTAGTTAGTGTAGTTAAATAAATTATCTCCAGATTTATAATATAATATATACAAGAGGGCGGTTCAGTTACACAGCATATTTATATGTACGTAGGCGATCATACCCCCAAACATAAAACCCATAAATATTCGGTACTTCTCGAAAATTTAGCACAAATCCAATTATCATGAATCATTTTTAACTCATAACACATAAGGAGGTACTTACTTTAAATGTGTAATAATGTGATCAGTAGAAGTATTAAAACTCGAGTTAAAATTGATTTTTTAATAAGCATAAAGTTATTGTTTATCAATAAAAAAAAATGTTAAACGCCCATAATATACATCAAAATATTCATATTAATTTCGCATTAACAATCATTTTGTTATTTTAACCATTGTTTGTATATTATTCATGTATACTTTACATTTTATATAAAATATTTTTTGATTTTTAGTATTTAATTTTTGAATTAACTTTTAGTTATGCACTTACAGTTTAAAGATATTAAAACAATATCAATATTAATGAAGACAATYATCTATTAAATTATTATTTATTACAATATCAAATTTATGAATGATATTTTTATCTGCAGTATGTGATTTTGATGTTTAACGCATAAATATTTTTTGTAAAATTAGTATGAATATATAATGTTTTTTAATTCTGGGTATCGCCATTAAAATATTTACCACACCCCTATAACTTTATAGGCAGTACAGGCGAGACGACAAAATTCTGCAAACTGTAAATACCATTTTTGCACGCAAATGAATGTCATACGAACGCTACATGGGACAGTCTTGTACATTTATGCTAATCGGCTAAATTTAAAATTTTTAGTAAAAGTTAATGTTTTTAATGGTTGACGTGGTGTTTGTTAAAAATCCTTCATTCTATTTACTTTTCATTTTATACACTGGAGTTGCCAGTTCATAATGTAAATGCAGCCTGCAGAACTGAAATATAATCGTATTCATAAAATAAACAGTAAAATTCAGAAACTCTCAATATAATCAATATCAAATAAAAAGTAAGATTCTTGAATTACCTACGGGCTACACGATTGTGGTTACAGGAATATTGGATACCTACATCATATTATAATATTATATACCTTCCCCATATGCATTCCATAATTAAAAATAATATAATATAGGTATTAGTGGCTTTATGAAAAAAACCATACATAATAATAAATGTGCCTTTGAGTAAAATCTCTAGGTTCTATCAATAAATAGTTTTGTTTTATTTAAATACACGCCCAGAGGCATTAAGTACAGCTAGCATTTATTACAATACATATTTGATACTTAGACAATTTTTAAAATTAAGTAATATGCATAAAATCAAAATCAACATAGTTAAAATATTTTATTGCTTAATATTTATTATAGTCTATGTTACAAGATTACAATAGTGAAATAAAAATACTTAATATTATAAATTATAAACTTTTTGTTAGATCAAAAATACAAATGATAAAAATAATTGAAGCAACGATGTTCCAGCTTTTATTGTTGGTATAGACTATAGAGGAATGAAAAATATCTATGTTATTTTGTAGAAAACTTCTGTGAATAGAAAAAAATACTGTATAATATTCTTTGTTTTTATATAAAAATTGATATATCAATAATGAATACATATATTATTATAAGGCAATGAGTTGAACCGATCAATTTTATTCCTTCATCAAACTCATAATTAATAATAGTTAATCAAAATACGAATTTATAGCTTAATGTGTCCAAAGTGACTTATTAGGTATTCTGATAGGTAGTAAAAGCGTCATTKTAAATATATAGCTAATTTT